CGTCTCCGGGGAGACTACTCATTAACACATTGTAGTTGTTGTACATCATGGACGTGCCGAGAATTGAACTCGGGGCCTTCTGCATGCGAAGCAGACGTGATACCTCTACACCACACGCCCGGTGAAGGTAAGGTCCTTTGTCCTCTTCGGTGAAACTACTCAACAGCATATTCTTCTTGATGTAGTCAGTGGACGTGCCGAGGTTTGAACTCGGGGCCTTCTGCATGCAAAGCAGACGTGATACCACTACACCACACGCCCGACTGAAGATAAGGCTCCTTTCTCGTCTCCGGGGAAACTACTCATTAACACATTGTAGTTGTTGTACATCATGGACGTGCCGAGAATTGAACTCGGGGCCTTCTGCATGCGAAGCAGACGTGATACCTCTACACCACACGCCCGCTGAAGGTAAGGTCCTTTGTCCTCTTCGGGGAAACTACTCAACAGAATATTCTTCTTGCTGTAGGTAGTGGACGTGCCGAGGTTTGAACTCGGGGCCTTCTGCATGCAAAGCAGACGTGATACCACTACACCACACGGCCGACGAAACTGAGCTCCTTTCTCGTCTCCGGGGAAACTACTCATTAACACATTGCATTTGTTGTACATCATGGACGTGCCGAGAATTGAACTCGGGGCCTTCTGCATGCGAAGCAGACGTGATACCTCTACACCACACGCCCGGTGAAGGTAAGGTCATTTGTCCTTTTCGGGGAAACTACTCAACAGCATATTTCTCTTGATGTAGGCAGTGCACGTGCCGAGGTTTGAACTCGGGGCCTTCTGCATGCAAAGCAAACGTGATACCTCTACAGCACACGCCCGGTGAAGGTAAGGTCCTTTGTGCTCTTCGGAGAAACTACTCAACAGCATATTCTTCTTGATGTAGGCAGTGGACGTGCCGAGGTTTGAACTCGGGGCCTTCTGCATGCAAAGCAGACGTGATACCACTACACCACACGCCCGACGAAAGTGAGCTCCTTTCTCGTCTCCGAGGAGACTACTCATTAACACATTGTAGTTGTTGTACATCATGGACGTGCCGAGAATTGAACTCGGGACCTTCTGCATGCGAAGCAGACGTGATACCTCTACACCACACGCCCGACAAAAGTGAGCTCCTTTCTCGTCTCCGGGGAGACTACTCATTAACACATTGTAGTTGTTGTACATCATGGACGTGCCGAGAGTTGAACTCGGGGCCTTCAGCATGCGAAGCAGACGTGATACCTCTACACCACACGCCCGGTGAAGATAAGGTCATTTGTCCTTTTCGGGGAAACTACTCAACAGCATATTTCTCTCGACGTAGGCAGTGCACGTGCCGAGGTTTGAACTCGGGGCCTTCTGCATGCAAAGCAAACGTGATACCTCTACAGCACACGCCCGGTGAAGGTAAGGTCCTTTGTGCTCTTCGGAGAAACTACTCAACAGCATATTCTTCTTGATGTAGGCAGTGGACGTGCCGAGGTTTGAACTCGGGGCCTTCTGCATGCAAAGCAGACGTGATACCACTACACCACACGCCCGACGAAAGTGAGCTCCTTTCTCGTCTCCGGGGAGACTACTCATTAACACATTGTAGTTGTTGTACATCATGGACGTGCCGAGAGTTGAACTCGGGGCCTTCAGCATGCGAAGCAGACGTGATACCTCTACACCACACGCCCGGTGAAGGTAAGGTCATTTGTCCTTTTCGGGGAAACTACTCAACAGCTTATTCCTCTCGATGTAGGCAGTGCACGTGCCGAGGTTTGACTCCGGGGCCTTCTGCATGCAAAGCAGACGTGATACCTCTACAGCACACGCCCGGTGAAGGTAAGGTCCTTTGTGCTCTTCGGAGAAACTACTCAACAGCATATTCTTCTTGATGTAGGCAGTGGACGTGCCGAGGTTTGATCTCGGGGCCTTCTGCATGCAAAGCAGACGTGATACCACTACACCACACGCCCGACGAAAGTGAGCTCCTTTCTCGTCTCCGGGGAGACTACTCATTAACACATTGTAGTTGTTGTACATCATGGACGTGCCGAGAATTGAACTCGTGGCCTTCTGCATGCGAAGCAGACGTGATACCTCTACACCACACGCCCGGTGAAAGTAAGGTCATTTGTCCTTTTCGGGGAAACTACTCAACAGCATATTTCTCTCGATGTAGGCAGTGCACGTGCCGAGGTTTGAACTCGGGGCCTTCTGCATGCAAAGCAGACGTGATACCTCTACAGCACACGCCCGGTGAAGGTGAGGTCCTTTGTGCTCTTCGGAGAAACTACTCAACAGCATATTCTTCTTGATGTAGGCAGTGGACGTGCCGAGGTTTGAACTCGGGGCCTTCTGCATGCAAAGCAGACGTGATACCACTACACCACACGCCCGACAAAAGTGAGCTCCTTTCTCGTCTCCGGGGAGACTACTCATTAACACATTGTAGTTGTTGTACATCATGGACGTGCCGAGAATTGAACTCGGGGCCTTCTGCATGCGAAGCAGACGTGATACCTCTACACCACACGCCCGGTGAAGGTAATGTCATTTGTCCTCTTCGGGGAAACTACTCAACAGCATATTCCTCTCGATGTAGGCAGTGGACGTGCCGAGAATTGAACTCGGGGCCTTCTGCATGCGAAGCAGACGTGATACCTCTACACCACACGCCCGGTGAAGGTTGGGTCATTTGTCCTCTTCGGGGAAACTACTCAACAGCATATTCCTCTCGATGTAGGCAGTGGACGTGCCGAGGTTTAAACTCGGGGACTTCTGCATGCAAAGCAGACGTGATACCACTACACCACACGCCCGACGAAAGTGAGCTCCTTTCTCGTCTCCGGGGAGACTACTCATTAACACATTGTAGTTGTTGTACATCATGGACGTGCCGAGAATTGAACTCGGGGCCTTCTGCATGCGAAGCAGACGTGATACCTCTACACCACACGCTCGGTGAAGGTAAGGTCATTTGTCCTTTTCGGGGAAACTACTCAGCAGCTTATTCCTCTCGATGTAGGCAGCGCACGTGCCGAGGTTTGAACTCGGGGCCTTCTGCATGCAAAGCAGACGTGATACCTCTACAGCACACGCCCGGTGAAGGTAAGGTCCTTTGTGCTCTTCGGAGAAACTACTCAACAGCATATTCTTCTTGATGTAGGCAGTGGACGTGCCGAGGTTTGAACTCGGGGCCTTCTGCATGCAAAGCAGACGTGATACCACTACACCACACGCCCGACAAAAGTGAGCTCCTTTCTCGTCTCCGGGGAGACTACTCATTAACACATTGTAGTTGTTGTACCTCATGGACGTGCCGAGGTTTGAATTCGGGGCCTCCTGCATGCAAAGCAGACGTGATACCACTACACCACACGCCCGACGAAATTCAATTCAATTCAATTCAAACTTTATTGCCCGGGCGTTACAAGCTCAAAGCTTATCGCCCATCACACGACCCGCGCAAGCGGATCCCGATATGGTTAGACCCAACCATAGAGCCTTAAAACAACAGAGGAGGATCAATCTTTCATCATCAGCTCGGAGGTTCTTGAGAGGTGCTTCGACACAACCACGTCGTGCAGCCAGGCAAGGCCGGTGACTGAGGCATGCCACACTGGGCAGCCTACTAGGCATGAGGGAGAAAAAAGGTGAGGAGAGGATCAAGTGAGCCCATGACCAACAACTACAATTGCAGAAACCCAGATGCTTAGATGATGAGAGGATTTGCAGTAAGGGAGGGCCCAACCAATACCGAGTCACCAGCAAGGGGGACGTATGGGTATGGCAGGTTCGATCTCTACTTCGTACCGGGAAGCCCGACGAAAGTGAGCTCCTTTCTCGTCTCCGGGGAGACTACTCATTAACACATTGTAGTTGTTGTACATCATGGACGTGCCGAGAACTGAACTCGGGGCCTTCTGCATGCGAAGCAGACGTGATACCTCTACACCACACGCCCGGTAAAGGTAAGGTCCTTTGTCCTTTTCGGGGAAACTACTCAACAGCATATTCTTCTTGATGTAGTCAGTGGACGTGCCGAGGTTTGAACTCGGGGCCTTCTGCATGCAAAGCAGACGTGATACCACTACACCACACGCCCGACGAAAGTGAGCTCCTTTCTCGTCTCCGGGGAGACTACTCATTAACACATTGTAGTTGTTGTACATCATGGACGTGCCGAGAATTGAACTCGGGGCCTTCTGCATGCGAAGCAGACGTGATACCTCTACACCACACGCCCGGTGAAGGTAAGGTCATTTGTCCTCTTCGGGGAAACTACTCAACAGCATATTTCTCTCGATGTAGGCAGTGCACGTGCCGAGGTTTGAACTCGGGGCCTTCTGCATGCAAAGCAGACGTGATACCTCTACAGCACACGCCCGGTGAAGGTAAGGTCATTTGTGCTCTTCGGAAACTACTCAACAGCATATTCTTCTTGATGTAGGCAGTGGACGTGCCGAGGTTTGAACTCGGGGCCTTCTGCATGCAAAGCAGACGTGATACCACTACACCACACGCCCGACGAAAGTGAGCTCCTTTCTCGTCTCCGGGGAGACTACTCATTAACACATTGTAGTTGTTGTACATCATGGACGTGCCGAGAATTGAACTCGGGGCCTTCTGCATGCGAAGCAGACGTGATACCTCTACACCACACGCCCGGTGAAGGTAAGGTCATTTGTCCTTTTCGGGGAAACTACTCAACAGCTTATTCCTCTCGATGTAGGCGGTGCACGTGCCGAGGTTTGAACTCGGGGCCTTCTGCATGCAAAGCAGACGTGATACCTCTACAGCACACGCCCGGTGAAGGTAAGGTCCTTTGTGCTCTTCGGAGAAACTACTCAACAGCATATTCTTCTTGATGTAGGCAGTGGACGTGCCGAGGTTTGAACTCGGGGCCTTCTGCATGCAAAGCAGACGTGATACCACTACACCACACGCCCGACAAAAGTGAGCTCCTTTCTCGTCTCCGGGGAGACTACTCATTAACACATTGTAGTTGTTGTACATCATGGACGTGCCGAGGGTTTGAACTCGGGGCCTTCTGCATGCAAAGCAGACGTGATACCACTACACCACACGCCCGACGAAATTCAATTCAATTCAATTCAAACTTTATTGCCCGGGCGTTACAAGCTCAAAGCTTATCGCCCATCCCACGACCCGCGCAAGCGGATCCCGATATGGTTAGACCCAACCATAGAGCCTTAAAACAACAGAGGAGGATCAATCTTTCATCATCAGCTCGGAGGTTCTTGAGAGGTGCTTCGACACAACCACGTCGTGCAGCCAGGCAAGGCCGGTGACTGAGGCATGCCACACTGGGCAGCCTACTAGGCATGAGGGAGAAAAAAGGTGAGGAGAGGATCAAGTGAGCCCATGACCAACAACTACAATTGCAGAAACCCAGATGCTTAGATGATGAGAGGATTTGCAGTAAGGGAGGGCCCAACCAATACCGAGTCACCAGCAAGGGGGACGTATGGGTATGGCAGGTTCGATCTCTACTTCGTACCGGGAAGCCCGACGAAAGTGAGCTCCTTTCTCGTCTCCGGGGAGACTACTCATTAACACATTGTAGTTGTTGTACATCATGGACGTGCCGAGAATTGAACTCGGGGCCTTCTGCATGCGAAGCAGACGTGATACCTCTACACCACACGCCCGATGAAGGTAAGGTCATTTGTCCTCTTCGGGGAAACTACTCAACAGCATATTCTTCTTGATGTAGGCAGTGGACGTGCCGAGGTTTGAACTCGGGGCCTTCTGCATGCAAAGCAGACGTGATGCCACTACACCACACGCCCGACTGAAGTGAGCTCCTTTCTCGTCTCCGGGGAGACTACTCATTAACACATTGTAGTTGTTGTACATCATGGACGTGCCGAGAATTGAACTCGGGGCCTGCTGCACGCGAAGCAGACGTGATACCTCTACACCACACGCCCGGTGAAGGTAAGGTCATTTGTCCTCTTCGGGGAAACTACTCATTAACACATTGCCTTTGTTGTACATCATGGACGTGCCGAGGTTTGAACTCGGGGCCTTCAGCACGCGAAGCAGACGTGATACCACTACACCACACGGCCGACGAAACTGAGCTCCTTTCTCGTCTCCGGGGAAACTACTCATTAACACATTGCATTTGTTGTACATCATGGACGTGCCGAGGTTTGAACTCGGGGCCTTCTGCATGCAAAGCAGACGTGATACCACTACACCACACGCCCGACAAAAGTGAGCTCCTTTCTCGTCTCCGGGGAGACTACTCATTAACACATTGTAGTTGTTGTACATCACGGACGTGCCGAGGTTTGAGCTCGGGGCCTTCTGCATGCAAAGCAGACGTGATGCCACTACCCCACACGCCCGACTGAAGTGAGCTCCTTTCTCGTCTCCGGGGAGACTACTCATTAACACATTGTAGTTGTTGTACATCATGGACGTGCCGAGAATTGAACTCGGGGCCTGCTGCATGCGAAGCAGACGTGATACCTCTACACCACACGCCCGGTGAAGGTAAGGTCATTTGTCCTCTTCGGGGAAACTACTCAACAGCATATTCTTCTTGATGTAGGCAGTGGACGTGCCGAGGTTTGAACTCGGGGCCTTCTGCATGCAAAGCAGACGTGATACCACTACACCACACGCCCGACAAAAGTGAGCTCCTTTCTCGTCTCCGGGGAGACTACTCATTAACACATTGTAGTTGTTGTACATCATGGACGTGCCGAGGTTTGAACTCGGGTCCTTCTGCATGCGAAGTAGACGTGATACCACTACACCACACGCCCGACAAAAGTGAGCTCCTTTCTCGTCTCCGGGGAAACTACTCATTAACACATTGTAGTTGTTGTGCATCATGGACGTGCCGAGAATTGAACTCGGGGCCTTCAGCATGCGAAGCAGACGTGGTACCCCTACACCACACGCCCGGTGAAGGTAAAGTCCTTTGTGCTCTTCGGGGAAACTACTCAACAGCATATTCTTCTTTATGCAGGCAGTGGACGTGCCGAGGTTTGAGCACGGGGCTTTCTGCATGCAAAGCAGACGTGATACCACTACACCACACGCCCGACGAAGGTAAGGTCCTTTGTGCTCTTCGGGGAAACTACTTAACAGCATATTCTTCTTGATGTAGGCAGTGGACGTGCCGAGGTTTGAACTCGGGGCCTTCTGCATGCGAAGCAGACGTGATACCACTACACCACACGCCCGACGAAAGTGAGCTTCTTTCTCGTCTCCGGGAAAACTACTCATTAACACATTGTAGTTGTTGTACATCATGGACGTGCCGAGAACTAAACTCGGGGCCTTTTGCATGCGAAGCAGACGTGATACCTCTACACCACACGCCCGGCGGAGCAATGACCAGTGATCGATTTCGAAACTCCCCTTCAGGTAACGAGAAGATTGAGAGTCTTCCCCGGGTTGGGTGGGGAAAAGAGAACGGTAGAGCACCCCTCAAGAAGCCGAACCATGTCCGACCCTGATGCAGGCGGATTCTCGCGACTGTATCACTCCTATGATCCATATGGTCCTACAAGCTATGATCTCTTTACGGGGGCACACCAACGTCCGGTAGCTGATGCGCCCCATGAATTGATCAGTGCTCCTCATACATTGGGGCGCAGCAGTGACCAGTGATCGATTTCGATTCAAGTTGAGAGTTTGGCATGCGAAGCAGACGTGATACCTCTACACCACACGCCCGGTAAAGGTAAGGTCCTTCGTGCTCTTCGGGGAAACTATTCAACAGCATGTTCTTCTTGATGTAGGCAGTGGACGTGCCGAGGTTCGAGTTCGGGGCCTTCTGCATGTAAAGCAGACGTGATACCTCTATTGTAGAAGCTCTACACCACACGTCCTATGTCAGTTCGTGGGCTAACAATTGTGCATTTTAGACCAGGGACAATAAAACTTTGGACCTGAATGCGGAGCAGACGTCATGGGCCTTTGGACCTATCGTGATGGGCGGCAAAGCCGCCGCGGCTGCTCACACCCAGGGGCCCTGAGTGTGAGAAGCCCTCGATCATGTCCCTGACCCGCGCCAAAGATCAGGGCAGCGCCAAAGATCACGTCTCAGAGTATGTACTTGAGTTATGTTGCGGTCAAACGGGGTAGTTTCTCCAGGCGCCACTTAAGTTTTAGGATTGGGTTACGAGGCAAAAAGCTCTATTCCAGAAACCCCTCGTGCGATCAACATCCTTGGTCTGTGGTACGTAGCAAACAGCAGACGGGCTTCAATTCGTGAACAGGTACGATTGTTCTCAGTGTTATTCTGTGCAATTTTTCAAGCATGCGAGGCACGTCACCCAGCCCGCAGGATCGAGAACCCCTTCCGGAGATATCAGCTACCATTGATCCTTACGCCGCCTTGTCAGGCAGAGAGATATTACAAGGTGCCGACTCGGGCCTCCTTAGATTGCCAAGAGTCTCGGCGCGAGATGTCTGCAACAATCTTGACGCTAATATGTTATTGGTCTCCTTCTACAGTCATTGCTCCTGCTTCAGACCAGGACAGAGTAATTGCTGAGCAAGACGAGCAGTTGGCCGAGCTCGAAGGTACCGTTCACAGCTTGAATGATATGTCTAATGCCATGTCCGAAGAGGTGTGTCGACTCCTCCGCGTGTTGCCAATAGATGCTCGCGATGCAGATATCCCTTCATAACGATATGTTGGATGGCATCAACGCCCGAGCTTCAAATGTGCAGGGCTCTGTTACGCACAATCGGAGGCGCCTATCGGAAGTCCTGACTCGGCATAATAATTGTGGGTTGTGGTGTCTAATAATATTGCTCGTAGTGACCTTAGTATCTTTGCTCACCATCACCAAGTGAAGTATCTTTAATGACGCGTGTGAAATGTTTCGTTCATGTTAATGATGCGTTAACTATCGTTAACTAGCGATGATAGATAAGATCGGATCATCCGGCCATTCCAGGCCTTGTGAATCCTAAGGGTCCATTCGGCCTAAGGTGCACTTTCACGTTGGTTTTCGCCTGGTAGTAACGCAACCATAACGCAGCAGCCTGATATTCACGCGTAGAAACAACCATAAACTCGTACAGGTGGTCGTCATCACCATCATCAGAAGCAAAATTCCATCTCCTCGGGTCTTGAAACATCGACACTACTTTGTCGGTGGCATGTACGCACTGGTGAACAGATGTCTTGCCTTGCGAAGCGGATTAGGCTTGTTGTCAACGCGCTCGATGTAATCACCGTAGCTCGAGGGGTCCATGAACTGATGAATCATCAAAGAGATGTTGAACGAACTAATCCAGCAACGAAACATTACCTGATATGCGCCAGCAGGCTGCTCCTCTTCTGGAGTAGGGAAGAGCTGAGTGTCGGGATTATCACTGCCGTAGGGGATCATACCAAACCTCCCTGAAAAAAGTGGCCGCGTGCCTCGGCTAGGAACATCTCTATTATTGAGACTCTATAACACCAAAAGACACTCTAACCCTATGACGCTGAAGCAGCCAATAGCTGCATAGTTGAGCCCTATTACACTGAACCTTGTTGGGTGCGCCCTCTAGCGGAAGAGCGTCCTCCTCATCAACCTTCAAAGCCTCGCATCTGAAACACTCAAGATCAAGGCATTGCTTAGCGGTACGAGTTCGACTCGACGGAAGAAGGGCCTCGTCTTATATTATAAGACGGTTCTCGGACCAGACAGTACAGCTTGCCAAAACTCCTCGCCTCAGTTGCCTCAGAGATCGCCTTGTCCCACAAATCATTCAGCCTGTTGCATGTATCACTGTACTCCTTTTCCTACAATATAAGGCATGAGTATGAGTATGCACGGCGCTAGAAAACGATGAGATGATCCGAGCCGCTGGAGAACACTAACCTTCTTCGCCTGTGCTTGTTGCTTGGTGTCCCAGAAACCCTTATCCGCCAACTCATTGGCCTGGGCGTAAGAATGCATCTTATCCAGATAGAACCTAAGCACACATCGAACCGTAGATTACCACCTCTGTTCAGGCGAACCCTGAACGCAGCTCAGAGTGATTGCCGCGACATCACCAGCGAAGAATCGGAGGACTATAGTACCAGTTGTTGTTCATATCCCCGT